CACACACCATTCTTCTCTATTCTTGTCAAAGAAAATAAAAATGTCGCCGAGGCCGACCGGAGCGGAAGTGACCAATCAGGAAACGCCTACAGGAGGATTTTCTGAACGGCTTGCTTATTTTCTCACATGACAGCCCTTTTTGTCTGATAACTGACCAATCAGTGTCTCTCATGCACACACACACACACACCCCTCCTCCCCCATGTGGTCCAACAGTACCTGTACTATCCTGTCCTTGGGCTGCAGGCCGGCCCTCTCAGCTGGAGAGTCTTCGTCCACGGCTCTGATGTACTGGCCCGGCCGCGCCCGCTCGCTGTGCAGGTTGAAGCCATATCCGTTGGGGCCTCGCTGGATCACGCAGAGACGTGGCCGCAGCTCAGCCTGCACCTCCTAGAAGAGGAGAAAATGTTAGCGACCTCACCCCCCCTAGCCTTAACAGAGCTGGTCCTGAACTAAAAAGAACTACCTCCACCATGAGCGTCTGTTCAGGCAGAACCAGAGGCACAAAGATCACCGAGAGCTCCTGAGACTCGTTTACCATGAAGATGAAGCCGAGGGCGAACATGCAGGTGGCCGCTGCATGCTGATCTGCCCTCGCTGCGTTTGAAACTATGAAATGTAAACTGCTGCTGCTTTTGGCCCCACGTGATCCCAGGCCAGGAAGGAAGGGGGGTCTCTATTGGAGGTGACTGCAGGTCTGTTGGGAAGGTTTGTGGACCGGTTCCGGTGTGGCTCTCAGGACAATAGAAGCTGGGTGTCAACCTCTGACCGCCTCCCCCCTGTCTCCCTTCTGCTCCGGGGGATGGCAGGAAGACTTCGAGCTACTTTGTCATCCAGCAAAAAAAAAAAAAAGGGCAGAAACCTCCCTTCCGCTGTACAGATGAAGCAATTTCTTTATTTAGCAAGGAGATGGTGAGGTCAGAGGTCAAAACAGAGTTTGGAGTCAGGATGATCTTTTATCATCATGACCACGCCTGACCTGATGCTGCTTTCTTTCTTCTTTTTATTTCATTACATCAGAGCCACAGAGCGGTGCCGCCCTCGGTCCACTAAACGCACAATGACACACCTGGATTAACGCTGTTAGTCGGAGAGAACGGCTCGCTTTCTCTGGAAAATACGGGCTGATTACAAGCACTTCAAAAGATTAAATGTGGACCTTTGTCAAACCTGAGGCAACATTTTCTCTCATAACTCAGCTCCAACGTAGAAATGAGCGACTGTCTCCTCACCCCGTCGACACCCACCAAACAAGTGGTTTGAAAGAAGGTGAAACGTTAGGAAGATCTGCTCCGACTCATTTAAGAGTAAGAGAAACTGGACAGATAGTGACGAATCGTTGCAAGGAAAGTTTTCTAAACTGGGACCTTCGTTTCTTAGAAGTGCCGTGCTGAGAAAGACGACTCTGTTTAATAAACACAAACATCTGCATTTAGTCTCACAACGGAAAAACTGCCAACTTGCAGATTCTGCTTTTTGAAGTGGGGTTCTGTGGAAAAGTTATGAACAGTCAATATCTTACTTGGTGTAGATACCTCTTTAAACAATAGGCTTTAGAACCTTTGATGCAGCCTGAGACACTTCCATTAAGATTTTCATATCTTATTCCGAGAATAACAAGGTAACGTACAACTGAAGGCAGCAAGAGGGTGGAAAAAACAGTCTTAATATGAACTGCTGTGAAATTTTTGAGATTGGATTTATTTAAAGGTCAATTCAACAACCATTCACTCTCTCACTCACACCTAGGGACAATTTAGAGTTACCAATCAGCCTAACATGAGATACAATGAAATACTAAACTGTGTTAAACATCAGTAAATACAGGTGTGTTTTAGGAGAGATTTAAAAGCAGGGAGTGAAGTGACCTGTCTAATGTAAGGGACAGATTATACCAGAGTTTAGGACCCATGACTGCAAAAGCCCGATCTCTGAGTTTCAACCTGGTTTTTGGTACAACCAAAAGCAACTGGTCAGATGATCTCAGAGCCAGAGAAGGAACTGAAGCAGATCAGAGAGATATGAGGGTGCAAGGCCATTAAGGCATTTACAGGTCAATAGGAGAATTTTAAAATCAATTCTGACATGTAGAGGGAGCCAGTGAAGGGATGACAAAACTGGTGAAATATGCTCAAACCTACGAGTTCTTGTTAACAGCCAAGCTGCAGCATTTTGGATGAGCTGGAGACGTGAAAGGGACACCTGGCTGACCCCAACATAAAGTGTGTTACAGTAGTTGAAACTTTAAAAGTTTGAAGCCATCCATGCCTTGATATCATCAAGACATTTTAGTCGAGGGTGAATTGTGCACGAACTATTTGGATTTAAGGGCAGATAAATATGACAATCATCAGCATAGCAATGAAATGAAAGACAATGTTTCCTCAGGATAGACTCCAAGGGGAGCAGATACAATGAAGACAGAAGGGGTCCGAGAATAGAGCCCTGCGGGATCCCGCAGGAAAGAGGCACTGAAGCAGATCAATTATTACTAACGTTAGCACAAAAACTCCTGCCACTCAGAAAAAAAATCTGTATGCCTCTTTTATGACTGTCTATTTTTGTTGTTGTTATCCACTGTTGTCATCACTCTTTGTTAAAATCAGGTCTCTCTTGTAAATGAGTCCCTGAGGCTCAATGGGATTAACCTGTCTAAATAAAGGTAGAATGAATACTGTGGTCAACAGCATCAAAAGCAGCTGTAAGGTCAAGGAGTACAAGTATCACAAACTGAAGGTGACAGCGATTCACTTTAGACTTGGCCTCAACCAGATTAGCCATTAGCTTGTCAGAATTATACCAAACTGAGGTTGTTTAGAGAGCCATCTTCAACAGGTAAGATACTAATTAAAACAATCCGAACCACCTATTCTCGTTAAAATTAACTGTGCCTGCCCAAACTTTCTGTTTTTAGCTTCAAGAGTTAAGCTAATCAAGCTAATTTGTTCAAACTACAAGACAAATAAAAGTTAAGCTTATTAAATGAGGGGCTTGTCTTTGATTTGTTGTGTTTTTGAATGTTTAAGTCATTTTTTTTTTATTTGATAAATGAAACAACTAATGGTTACAAAGCTGCGTTGATCGTTCGGTAATAAACTTTAGTTTTCCCGAGTTTTAAGACTGAATTGAGAAAACTCTCGTTTTATACTTTTCTTTACAAAGCTGAGAATAAAATAATAAAATATGATAGGAAAAAGCAGCTCCGATGTCAGAGTGTCCAACAAACTTATTCCACAGTCCAACGTTCACTCACCTTTCGGTGTGTTCAGTTGTGTGCGCTGCCAAGTGAGTAAGACGGATACTGAATACAGATGTTGCTTTTCTCATGAGCCATTTCATTTTGGCATCAATAAAGTGCCTGATCAGACTCCAAACGGATAAACCATCCTTTAATTAATCAACAAGATATGCACTGAAAACAGCTAAAATATTCTTAATAAATAAGACGACAGTGAATCCGAATTAAAGTACTATTTCAGATATTTGAATCTATGAACAAACCCCCCAGAATTTGACTTCCTTGTAACCAAAAAGTATAACCAAGTGTTTGGAACTGCAGCAGACTCCCTGCTGCTCATCAGGGCTGATGTTAAGCGTCCCCACTTGGGGAGCTATCCGGGGTGCGAGAGGTCCCGACACTGATAACAGAGGAGGGTTTATCCTGATTCATGCTCAGAGGAGGATTTGTGTCTCCAAGGAATCTCCACGCCGGTTTGTAATCTGTGGAATCTGCTGAATGCACATGAGCCAGGAGGGAAGCATTGCTCATTAAGCCTGATTGTGTTTCTAATGCACGCCGCTCAAATCTGACACACACACACACACACAAAAACAGACTGTGATGTTCTGCAAAAACTGAAATGTTTTATCTGTGAAAGAACAAACAATCTGTGCTGCATCATGTGACCAAACAGAACAGTGTGGGTTTTGGCTCAGGGTCAGCTTGGATCAGGAGCATTTATATTCTTCTTACTGACATTTTATTTGTTTTAGCTTGTTTCTCACACCCCAAAGCCTGTGAGAGCAAACCATATGTAGGAGGAAAACAGATTGAATCATCTACTTCTGATGCTTCCTCAGATGATCGGTGGTTACGGAAAGTCATGTCAAAGTACTGCATTTTGTTATCTTATCTAAGTACAAGTTTCCATTTTTGTGGGATGATTTACTCAAACCTATTCAAACCTGTTCCTTAAAGATAAAGGTCACATGCTGTAGTTTGTAGTTTACATCTTAAAATAAAGGCCCAGGAATGCATGTCATCCGCCAACATGGATATTTTTAGACTGCAATCATCTTTTGTTGACAAATAGTTACAGCTTTTTTGATCAAATCTCAAAAATTGCACGCCATATGGCAAGATCTCATGCAATCAGCGCTCAAAGTACATGTTGAGAATGACTCGCAGCTACTACCACACCATGTTTTAGCTCAAAATTGGTGACAATGACTGAATTAGAGCCAGTTTCGTGTTGGCTAAGGCCCTGTTTACACGACAACGATCCAATGAAAAAGTTTTTTCCCCCCCCCATTTCTATTAACACATTAACATGAAAACGTTCTCATTACAATCTGTTTACACAGCAACGGAAGACACGGAGAAGATGTAATTCCCTCACCACGCCACTAGTTGGTGCTATGTTCTTTGAAACTCTTAAGTGCGCATGTGTAAAAAAAAAAAAGAAGTTCTACCTGAAAGCTGCTACAACGGTCGAGATGACAGACAAATATTTCTATGGACAGACGACGAGGTTCAACTGTTGCTTATTCGGTAATCAGATGTATTTTGGACCCAGGTTAACAGAGATGGCATAACAGGTTCCTCTGATGATAACGGACACAGCGGCTCGTGACAAACTGAAAGCGTTGGCTGTTTTTTGGATTCTTCCCCCAGCACTTAAAGTATAAAGTGTACAGGCCACCTTTTTTAAGACGTCAACCAGCGATCTCATGGTTGTCCGTTCCCCCTCGATGTAGGGGCGAAGTTCCTCACTCAGAGAGACAAGGGATGCTTCGACAAACGAAAGCTCTCCCTCCATTCTTTATCGCTTACATCTTTCAAATGAAAGACGGAACGTTTCTACAATTTTTTGTTTTTTGAACCCGTCCAGAGGACCAGACTTAACTTTTTTAGATTTTTCTACCTGGATTATTGAGCATGCATCAGGATATTGACTGCATTGTTTACAAAGTTATCCCACCACTGGCTTTTCCTCCCAGGTCGTGTCCAGTAGCGCCTCCTAGCCGTGCTTCTTCTTCTCATACATCCGTTAAATAACAGAGTGGAGCTGTATGAGATCCGTCTTTGATGATTTAAGTAAAGAGATAACAAATGAGCACTGTGTTGGTGAGCCAGAGTTAGATTTATTAGAGTCAGAAGCACAAACAAT